ATTAAATAGTTGGCTTAAAAAATATTTTTTTTTACTGTACTAAATTTAGTACAAATGTGAAACGGATAGCCATTAAATGTGAAGAAAAAAAAAAGTAACTTTGATTGTAGAGATGTAATATTATGTTTTACAAGCTTTTAATTAAAATATAATGTTTTAAGGCTAAATATCTATTTAAAGATTCTTGCTTTTTATAGTAACGTTGAAATTTACATAAAAAATCTCCGGTAATAAAATTTGATATTACGTCAATACATATATTTGATTTACATAGTATATCACCCTAACTATACATCTTTGTTCACTTTAGAAATTCGGTCATAAAACATTAGAAAACTGTAAAACCACATGCCAGTGCATCATAGATATTTAAATGTTACTTATTATTCTACATTTGTATAGGCAATATTTGAATGGTTGGGCAGTGAAGCCGCCCACATTTTATAACTTTAGTGGGTGCACTTAGTCTCAATGTAATAAAATGTCATAATGAACTTTAGACACTCTGACATGCCAATGGCTATTGTACTAGGTTTCTAGTAACGATACATTACACTGACGGTAAACAGTCACTTTATTATGATTACATTATATAAATGAATATATAAATTAGTAAATCATACTGCCTAAAAAATTTAAACTATAATAATTTCCGATAAGATCTACAGATGCGTTAATCGATCACTTCAACTGATTTATTATTCAAATTTTTAGGTTCAACTATTTCCGGTTCATAAGTATTTGGTGGTACGTGCATACGATTTTTAATAAGCTGCAAATTAAACTTTTTTTTTAAAAAAAATATAAAATGTTGGAACTCGAATTTCTTAACGTTAATTTACTCAATTTTATTATCTAAGATGAAATTGGTTTATTCATTAATAAAACGGTTCCAAAATAGCCGATGTATGATAAAAATATTTATAACTTTCATAATCACTATATTATTCTATTTAAGTTTCTTGCTTCAACCATTATTCGATTATTATTCTTACAAAGAATTAGAATCACTAAAGCAAAATAAGTCCTTTAATCGTACTCTTGGCTTTGATCATATTTATGTAGTTCATCTAGACCATCGAACTGATAGACGTAAAAGATTAGATAATATAGCATCATATCTTGGTTTAGATATTGATTATTTCTCAGCTCTTTCTAAAGACGATGAACGAGTTCTCAACAGATATGGCACCTCAGAGCTGAGCCCTCCACAAAAAGCAACTTATCTTAGTCATTACTTTCTCTATAAATTGATGGTTGATAAAAATTACAATAACATCTTAATTTTAGAAGATGATGCGGACTTTGAACTTAACATTACAGCTATTATGACTGATATTCATAGTGATTTACCCTCATCTTGGGAAATTTTATTTGTAGGTCATTGTTTTGAAGCTACTGGTGACCAAGTCGGAGAAACTTCTTCTGTTCATAGGTTATATAGATCTATATTCCCAATGTGTTCGCATGCTTATGCAATTTCTTATTCGGGAGTCCGCAAATTAATAGAGCTGCTTGATCCTATGATTCCACGTGGACCGATTGATTATTCTCTTATGGTAGTAATTGAAGAAGGGAAAATCTCATCATCCACAACCCATAGTGCAGTGGAAAGCTTCTGACAATCCGTCTGATATTCCTGATTCACAAGAGCTCGAATTTAGTTTACTCAATTCAACATCAAATTTTCTTGGGTATAATAGCACTTAATGTAAATAACTTTTTTTTTTTTTTTTTTTTACGAAACTTTGTATAAAATTTTATTCAAATTTGAATATTAACTCTGTGTCTTGGGAAGTTTTGGATTAATTTTGGTGTACAAGGATATTTTTAAATTTAAACTATATAGTTTAGCATTTACAAAAAGTTATGTAAATATTATATATCTTTCCCAATTTTAATAATCTAATAGGAAATCTTTTGGTTTCATTGTTCAGTGTCATGTATGTAACTATAAGTGGGATGTCGATACGATTGCATAATTGAAAATTTACAACTTATCAAAATACTAATGATTATAAATATTATTTAAAAAATATAATTTAAAATTTTCTGTTACATTATGAATAAAAAAATATTCATTAATATGATATATAAAGATTGATGTTCTTTAAACTGTAGAAATAACTATTCTCTTCATTTATTTGACGTTAAGAAATGTCTCAAAATTCAGGTAACAATGTAGTTCAGGCAGTTTTGATAAAGAGTCTGTTATGATAGAATATAGTTTAAAGAATTATTTCTTTTGAAAAGTCAAAATTGCATCAAATGTGTAGAATAATCGGTTTCGTAATTCAAGGCAATCAAAATGCCAATTAGATTTTAAATCAATTTCTTTTTAATTGTAATTCGAAGCAAAAACACCATTTCTGATGCGTTTCTGATGGTGTTATGTGCACCAACTATTCTTTATTTATTTTATTTTATTTTATTCTCTTTCTTTATTTAGTTAGCATTCTATTATAAGTCGTTATTTTATATTTTTTATTTGGGAAAAGATTGTTGTGGCACCTTTGGGTGATTAAAGCTCCAATCGAGTGATTAACGAGTGATTAAAGCTCAAAACGACTGATTGAAGCTCTAAACAAGTGATTGAAACCTCAATACGAATTAAAAGATATAAATAGGTTAGGTATCAGCATGAAATAAAAATCAATTATCGCTCACAGTAGTTTATAGTTTCAGTTGTATTTACGATCTGGGCATAATTCAAATGTATTAGATTTATTTAAGAAATTTTAATAAAAGAGAACCCTTTAACTCGTAAAATAATAAGTCAATTTATAATTTCAAATCAAACACTTAAACCCGTAATTCTATCCACGTAATCTTAAATCTCTAATTTATTTCTCACGTAACATACGGAACCTGAGTTGTTATACAATTTATATCCATTTTTGTCTACGCTCGAAGCTAAATCGGACCCAAAATTACCGAAGCTCTCCCACTCTACCGTAACAATGCTAAGAAAAAAAAAGTCAATTTGCGTACTCTCTCGATAGGGATCGTAAAAAGTGCCACATTACTATAGCTACGTGACTCTAAATTCTCCTGGTTACACGAATTTCATTTTTCCGAAAATTTCCGATTTATGATCTCCAGATTACCTGTAGAGTACTTGTTTGGACACTGCCGGCAAATCATTTAGGCCGGGATGATTTTTATTGACAAGTTAGTGAATAGCAGAGTGAGCAATTGGCCGGGTTGGCCGGAACGGCAATGACCACCCGCGAAAGTAGCAATCGTGATTAAACTGGGGTCGCCGTGGGAACAGCCGGTGGTTTCCCGCTTGCCGCAGCATGCCAGAGATAATAGAATCACGTGTCCCGTGTCTAGGATTGGGTCGGGTGGGTCACGAGAATTTTCAGTTCGAGCATTATCTGCTAAGAGTCAGAAC